TCGCGCATGTCTTCGCGGTCGCGATCGCGCATCACCTCCATGCGAGTCTTCTCCAACTCTCGCAACATGTCCAGACGACTACGTTCCAGCTCACGTTCCAAGTTTTCCAGTCTAACTTCCATTGTTGTTCTTGTTGATCCTCTCGTAACGACCATGTACAGATTACCAGGTCGATGCTCTGATACCAATGTTAAGTATCAAAGAGAAACGAAGATGAGCAGTGAACAATTCGTTATTCAATCAACAGAATAGAGAGAGAAAGTGCCTGACAGTTAAAGAGATGTCAACTCTCCAGTCCCAGCCAACTACCAAATTACAGCCTGCCTTATTCATCCCTTAGCTATCTATTTATAGAAGTCCACCCGACCCCCACAACATGATAGCTAACTACTTCTTATTCCCTTTCCTTCTGGAATACACTTTATCATAATAGCTAATACTATTATTATTATCTAGAGGTTGACTTCCCTTGACTCTAACACTCACCCTCCTCTTTTTCAAGGAGGCACTTACTCGCTCAAGAGCTCTCCTTGAGGCTCTCTCACTCATTACTCAAGGAGGCTCTCTCTAGGCTCACACTAGGCTCTCACTAGGCTCTCTCACAAGGCCTCAACACAAGAATGAGGAGTCTCACCCCTATTTATACTACTCTTCTCAAAGCTTCTCTAGAACTTTCTATACATTACTACATTTCTAGATTCTTCCAAGAAGTGTCCACAAGCTTCTCTAATCTTCTAGAAGGATCTAGAGAACTCCACACGGCTTCAGAATGTTCTAGAGGCTTCCACACACTTCTGCATGATTCTAGAGAATTCCACACTTCTCTAGAAAACTCCACAATGTTCTAGAATGTTCTAAACTCTTCTACATGCTTCTAGATAATTCCACGCCTCTCTAGAAAGCTCCAGAACATTCAATACGTTTCTTCACACATCTAGAGAATTCTAGATATCTTCACAAAATTCTAGAATTCTCATGAACTTCTCAATTAAGAAGGGAACCCAACAAATATCCCCCTACCGACTTAATTGAGAAGTAGCAGTCAACCATGAATAACATCCTCACATTTAGACATAGCAGTCTCCCACCTCACGTGTGAGTTGCTCCCCCTCAAACAAAGCTTGCATCACACCATACGAGCATCCATCAAGGAATGATCATGATCTCCTCCGCACCAAGAAATGATCCACCAAACTATCTTGTACCGTCGTTATCTGCTAACGGGACACGCCGCCTGATTACCTCAATATCAGGAAGACTTTCGATACAATGCACCAACAGTAGATCAAATCGCAAGACCAAATCCTGCACATGATGTTCTCAAGAAGATCTCCTCTCCACCAACATTTGATCTGCAATTCATCTCTTACCGCCGCTGTTTACCAACGGGACACGCCGCCTGACCATCTCAATATCAGGAAGACTTTCGATACAACGCGCCACCAACAGATCAAATCACGAGACCAGACTGAGAACCACTCACACAATGCATCTCATCACTCTGTTCCATATATGTATGACTTAAGCTTCATAGTGAAGTCCATCATCCCATCAAAGAGTATGATCTTGAATGCCTCTGACAACACTGTTACCATCACGGTAAGACGAGATCCATCCCCATGACGAACTCTACTCGTTACTCTACCTCCAACGACCTCAGCTCTGATACCACTATTGGGGAAACCATGATCCCCCGACCTCTTCCAAGATCACGGGTTCAAAGACTCTTGTACACTCACCCACTCTCACTCTTAATACAAAGGCTCAATCTAACAATATCACTTTTGTATTATACAATTGGAATGTACAAGAGAGATTTACATGTGAACGGGTAGCTCGTTTCACTCTTTGTATATGAGACTACTTCACTCTCGCTCTCCTCTTTTTCAAGGAGTCACTTACTCGCTCAAGAGTTCTCCTTGAGGCTCTCTCACTCATCACTCAAGGAGGCTCTCTCTAGGCTCAAACTAGGCTCTCACTAGGCTCTCTCACAAGGCCTCCACACTAGAATGAGGAGTCTGACCCCTATTTATACTACTCTTCTCAAAGCTTCTCTAGAACTTTCTATACATTACTACATTTCTAGAATCTTCCAAGAAGTGTCCACAAGCTTCTCTAATCTTCTAGAAGGATCTAGAGAACTCCACACGGCTTCAGAATGTTCTAGAGGCTTCCACACACTTTTGCATTATTCTAGAGAATTCCACACTTATCTAGAAAACTCCACAATGTTCTAGAATGTTCTACACTCTTCTACATGCTTCTAGATAATTCCACGCCTCTCTAGAAAGCTCCAGAACATTCTAGAACATTCAATATGTTTCTTCACACATCTAGAGAATTCTAGACATCTTCACAAAATTCTAGAATTCTCATGAACTTCTCAATTAAGAAGGGAATCCAACAAATTATGACTGTCACGTAAGATTTTTTGGCTGAATAATTGAATAATACTATCGATTCAAACATTTATGTATAATTATGGTACTGATTCGTTCCATTTAAGAATTAAAGAACTAAAATGTAACAACATCAATAGTTAATGTACTGTTTATGTATTTCACTTTGTGTCATTATAGTTAGTTTTGTTGGGAAAGGCTAGCTTGCTTTTGTTTCATTAATGAGTTTTTAACACCTTGTTTTGTGCATCCTGAATATCCTAACATGTTCCTATCTTCTCGTGACATCTCCATATTGTCTAAAGCAATCTCCATTTTCTCAGATTTTTTCTAATGTTTTGATCTGCCCTTTTTATTTTTTTACCGCATTGCTTTTTTATACTATTAATTATTCTCTAACTCCATGTTGATGACATTGTCTAATATCGTTAATGGTGGCTGATTTATGAAGTGGGCAATACAAAATGAATATATGGTGGGTATTGTTTTTAATTTAATATAAACAGAGCCTTAGTACATAATCAAAATAGGGAGAATTGAAATCAAAATTTGGATTGTGTATTGAGTGTAAGTCGACAAGATCAAACTTATGAAATTTAATATAGCTCAGGGACAATTTGGATTGTGTAGTTTATATATACAAGATTCACAAAGAAAAACTGATCGAGTTCAAATGGGATAGAAGTCGTTTTGAAAATTGAAATTAAAAATAAATAGGTAATACTTCGTACATATATAAATTGCACAAGAAATGATGGGATCAAGATGTATCTTCGTGTATGTATACAGGACCAAGAGTTCTTTTAATTAGCTAATCAGACTAATTTCAATATCGGAACCGATCAAATCAGATGATCAAATCTATATATATATATATATATATATATATATATATATATATATATTAATTCACTTAAGTCTGCTTCCCGCTCGTCCCTAGGGACATTCGCGTAAATACACCTTTTTCCATTCCTCCGAATTAGACTCGATCATTCTTCCGCGTTTAGAAATTAGGGCTCTCCATTTGAACTCACAGAATCCTTCAACGCCAGGCTTCCAACGAATTCAAGTTTATCGGACTCCTTTTGACATGGTTCTCATGAATAACAACATCCAAGCCTTAGTCCCAAAAGATATTGGGGTCGGCTAACATGAATCGATACATGATATCACAACCAAAAGGAAAAGAAGGAATAAAGATAAAAAGATAAGCTATTATGAAAAGATAATATAAAAAAGATGAATATATATAGAAATGATAAAATAAAAAGGCTGCAAATAATGCATATATATATATATAAGGATAAGGCTGCAAATATATATGCAAATATGTACTATGTAGTGTACTTTGCATTTCCTTTGGTGCTTTGCTCCGATTTCTGCAATTGCCACTACCAGTGGTATTTGATTCTGTTTATTTTGTGAATACGAGTCTTTTTAGGGGCAGGTGGTTGGGGCTCTAAAGAGGCTGCAACTATTCTTCTTCATTATTCTTTCGTTCTTAACGTAACTTGCCCTTTCTCTTATAAATACCAGAGGAGTATTTAAAGTCCATTTCCTGCTATTCAACTAATGTTTTAATACACATACTACTACTATTTATGTAATATGACGGGCTTTCATTATACCACTTGAAAACACAACCGTGTTTAAATTGGCTGAAATACTTTAGTGTACTTTAGTTGTAGTCAATCATTAAATTGACTGAAATACTTTAGTGTACTTCGCATTATCTAACTGAGTTTGGAATCTAATTCATTTCTGTTATAGTTACATGATAGGAATGGGCCTATTATTGTAGATAATAATAAGTGGGCTTGTAATAGAAATAGAAGTACTATAAATAGTAAGGAAGGGGGGAAAGGATAGGTAGGCAAATATTCAGTTGAGAATAGGCTGGGAGATTGGGCATCTCGAATTGTCCTGGGTTTTGTATACGTTCCATACTCTTCTTCTACATCAATAAACTTTCTATTGATCTTCTTTCTTGATAATTTCTTGATCGGATTTTCAGTGTTCTAACATTGGTATCAGAGCATTACGCTCCTGGCGATTACAGAAGTACAGAAATCCAGATTTTTTTTTCGTTCAAAGGTGGAGGGTTCGAACGAGAGGCAAAATGGATCATCGACTGGAATCGTTGGAGCGCATGGATTCGCTGGAGCGGAATCAGCAAGAGGTGAAGTTAAAGATGGATAACCTCGCGAGAAAGCTAGTGTTAGAACACTGAAAATCCGATCAAGAAATTATCAAGAAAGAAGATCAATAGAAAGTTTATTGATGTAGAAGAAGAGTATGGAACGTATACAAAGCCCAGGACAATTCGAGATGCCCAATCTCCCAGCCTATTCTCAACTGAATATTTGCCTACCTATCCTTTCCCCCCTTCCTTACTATTTATAGTACTTCTATTTCTATTACAAGCCCACTTATTATTATCTACAATAATAGGCCCATTCCTATCATTACACCATCTCACTTCCCATCCCAAGCCACCTTATTTCATTAATTCTTTTCATCATGAGTTAAGAAAATATCTAATTTATCTATTTATCTATATATTATTAACTCAACCAAGTGAGTCTTCCCGCCTAATTCCAGGGGCATTTGCGCAAGTCCACAAAACATTGCCTACTCCTGCCAAACACTCCGGCCGATTCTGCTCAAGTCTAGAAAGCAACCTCACCTATTCGGGTAAACTCTCATATATTATTCGATTATTTTGGATGCATTTGGATTTCCTCGGCTCATCTAACACCACATCTGGATTTCCTTTCCAATCGCCCACCTTCTAGCAGCTCTCTCTCCATTTGAAAGGTTTCTGGCTTCAACGATTTCAACTTATGGTAATATACTAAAGTCGACGAATCTCTCAACTCTATACTTTAATATTTATCTATGATATTTTGTTTTAACTTACTAAATAATCAATTTTTGTTTTAATGAACAAAAATGTAAATATATGATTTATCATTAGCATGGGGCTTATTTTCATAAATAATGATCATAAAACATCTCTTGATTTTCAATCTAATCCAATTCCATATTTTGTGGGATATTTTTAATTTGATTTCAAAAATTTAGGATTAATTGTTGGTATAGCCTTTCAAGATTTTTCTGATACATGTCTTTATTCTTTTGTTAACTACTTCTGCCATTTGTTTTAGTAACACGGTTTATCTTTTGTGTTTTGCTCTTTCTTCCTCCTCTTACAAACTTATTTGATTAACCAATTTAGTATATAAGCTCATGTATAAGATTCAATTCGTTATTCATGTATACAACTATACAATTGTATATACGATTTGTATATACCTAGATTCTATACTCACGTCTAAGGCCATTTTCCTTGATTCATGCCTAAACTTTGGGATTTTTCTAACCTATGTGGTATATAAGATAAGCTATGTTTGATGTTTTTTAGTTTTAGAGTCTAGGTCCATTCTGAGTGGAGAACATTATACCAATGAGACATATGTATGATCTTTTGCATTTCTTCTTTTCTTTGCAATATTAGTCTAAGAGAAAATTGCAGTTTCCCTTTTCAAATATTTCCGTCTCTTCATGGGCTAAAATTTTATAGAACAATGGTGACAAGAAATTAAAAAAAAAAAGTGCACTTTTATGTTTTATTTGTTGTCTTTATGTGTAGTTTCAAAACACAGAAATGATAATATCAAAAGAGAATATTGCACTTCATTTTGCTCTCTTCTGTAAAAATTGTCCTTTTCCTTTTATGTAAGAAAAATGCACTTCTCTAATATTTGAAATTAGAATTTTTTTCTTTATTTAATTAGTTCTGCTCTAGGGCCATAAGATGCACTTTTCTTTAGTCCATCGTTGGCTGGAAATCCTGGAATCTGAGAACATAGTATTGGCAAGAAGAAAAAAATATGGTTTGCCTCTTTATTTTTTCTCTTCATGGGCTAAAATTTCATTATAATTAGACAATAATTATAGGAAGAGAATAAAATTCACTTACTTTTGTCTTCATAAGAAAAAAGTACTTGACTACCATTCCCTTCAAGTGTACTCATCCTTGAGTAAAAAAAGAGAGTGCAAAACAGTGCTAATGGATAGAGTTGTGATTAAAATGAAGTCTAATTATTTGAAATGACCTACCTGTACTGCACTCCACTACTTCCACATGTTAGTTGAGCATGTGAATTATTTCCTACTTCATTTATATTAAATAACAAGAACTTTAGACCAAATGTCATATATAACTCATTTTTATGTTAGTTTTCTAGATTATGTCTGTTGTGGATTTTTTGGTCTGCTAATCATTAGTTTAACCCTCATAGTAAAGTAGTAGCTATATAAGACCTAAAACTTCACAGGCTCTCTGTTTTTCTTCTATTTAAAAAAGGCAGTAGTACAAAAGGCTCTCTTCTTCCAAGCAATATGATTAACAAATTCTATTTAGGTATAAATTTTGAGTTTGCTGTATTTGCTGTACTCGAACGCGGAGGCATAAAAAACTTCTTAACTTTGTTGTTGATGCGTGACAGTAATGGCTCAGGGGCGATTAGAATCTTTATCTCAAAAATAGTTGTTTTATGCTAAAAAGTGAGGGTTACTGGATTGGTCAATTTCAAAGGTTTTCAATCTTTTATGTTCTGATCTACTATTATGCATATGAGGCAACAAATTCCTTTTTGGTCATATATGATTTAGGAAGTAAGAGAGTGCTAGATGACATTAAACTAATGTACTGGTCCTAAATGGTCTGTACATATTCTACTCATAGCTGTTATAGAGCTTTGAACTAGAATATGTAAAGTATATCTTATATTGACAGAATTTAAAAATACAAAAAAAACATGCTCCTTCTTTAGTCGGTATAAAGTTTTTCATTTCACTTTTCATTTGGTCAAAATAACTCCCTTTTTTCACTTATTTTGTGTGTCAAACTTTTTTGTTTAAACCCAGTTTTTCGATGTAATAAAACTTTTAGCATACTTTCACAATATGCAAGTTTTATTTATTTATACAGTTTACATTTTATTATGTCAGAGACTCAGAGTAGTAGGATTATGAATTTATGATATACTACTCTTAAAAACTTGACTATTAGTAGAATCATTGTGTCTTCATATGTATAGTGATCCATTGTGGGAAACAGATGTGGAAAAATGTACCACCAAATAAAAGCAGAGTTTCTAAGAGTTCTAAATGTTTTATATTTTCTTGATGGGTATTCATCCGGCCAGAAAAGAAGGTTTGCTTATGCATTTCAGCCTGTGAGATGGTCTGTCGTACCAATAGTGAAAATATGACAGGGAAGTGGTTTTAGGAAAATAAATATTTTTGTGATCAGTGTTCTTGCTATTTGTTGTTTTTTATGGAAACTTTGGCTTTTTAGTTTTTTTATGAGCCTTTTAGTTTGTTAAAAAAACCATGTTGAAATCTATCATTCTTTTCTTATCTAGAAATGATTTGGGAACTGTATTGGCAAGAAGTGAAAGAAAACTTCTTTTGAAAAACATCTTCATTTCATTAATGGCTCAAGTATCCCACCAACACTTTATACTAGAGGGTTATTTGTGTCTTTTTAATTACTCCTCTATCAGGGGCGGACCGTAGTAGAGACCCGGGGGGGGGGGGGTTACCGCCCCCCAACAATTTTTTTTTAGTGTATATATATACGAAAAGTAATTTTTACTCTCCCAAAAAGTATTTTGAACCCCCCAAAAATATTTTCGACCCCCCAACATGATTTTCCTGGGCCTGCCCCTGTCCTCTGTTATTTGTTCAAGGACCCGACATGCTTTGCATAGTATAAAACTCATAGTATTCTATTACCCAAAATATGGCTAGCCATTGGAATATTATTACATGCTTTTCATTTTACAAAGCTCATAGTATCCTATCACCCAAATTTTGGCCAACCATTAGAACCATTTGTGAAGGTCTACTAAAGAGCTCTTAGATTGGAATATATCTTATTCCAGTAGTTGAATATTATCACGATAACGCATTACTTTTTCACTTGATAGAAAAAAGTGCGACTCTTTATTTTCTGGGCTCAGAATCTCATGGGTATTCAATGTGCCAAGAGAAATGTTTACGAGATAGTTATCTTTTTTTGGTACCATAGCGAACTGAACACTCCCCTGACTCCACCGCTTCAATTGGGGTTTTTTCTACACTTTCGATTTTGTCGAACAGGTTTAAGATTTTTGAACTTAGCTTTTTTTTTTAATTTTAAATATATGTGAATATTACGATTAGCATAATTGAGAAGGTATTGACAAATGACAAAAGCTTCATAGTAGTCATATTTGGTTGTTAGTGAGACCATCTTAGTAATTGTTGATATTTGATGACCCATATGTTTACGGTAGAGATTATGTTTGTATTTAAGCATCGGGTTTGAGTGAGATGCTAAGGTAATTAGCTACTGAGTGATATTACCGGTAAATGAAAAGTTGTGTGATGTTACAGTTTAGTCATCTAAGATTCTGTTCTTTTCACAATTCAGTCTCATAAGTTTTTTTATGGTTAAGGTAATTTCATGAACGTTTTCTCTAGCATCTTATTTATTGACTTGGAAAATATATTCCTCTTGGCTAAAACATCAAAACCTGATTTTAAATTATCTTGAGAAGTTGGGAGTAGCCAAAAGTTTACTGATTTCTTCACAATGGAGTTTCAACTAATTAGTTGATAAGTAATTTCCTCTTTTATGATATTTTTAAGAGTTTGGACCTTGGTTGGTACATGTGCGTTTCAGAAGAGGTGGTGGTTTTGAGACACTTGAGACTACCATATCGATGAGAATACATAGCTTTGATAATACTGTTGTCATTGATTTTTTCTTTTCAGATTACAGACCTAATGAGTGCATGGTATTTTTTAATTTCTTTTATATGTTATCTTATATTTTTCGTTGCACCATACGGAGTATAAAACTTAGGAGTAATATCACTTAACCAGGCCTCCTTAATTTCTGTAGATTTTCACTACACACTCTAATAGGCAACTTTGAAAGCAGGTTGTAAAGTGAATTTTAGAAGAGGTGATTCTGAGAGCATCTTTGAAAGCAGGCTGTAAAGTGAATTTTAGAAGAGGTGATTCTGAGAGCATCTTTGGTTCTTTCAATCAAAACATTCACAAGCACACACCACGTGTCTTTGCATATTAGCTTTGGCACTACTATTTTATAACTTTATGGCTTTTACTGATTGCTGTTGCTTATTTGGTCTTGATATATAAGCGTTGACATGTATATCACAAGATGATTTTTCGTTTAATCTGGTGTTTCTGCTTTTCGTTTCTTTTTATTTAGGGGTTTTTGTGGTTCTCTTAGCTTCTTTTAATCTTCTTCATTTTTAGTAGGCAATCCTTAGAATGTTTTTTACTTACAGTCACTAAAATTTGGTCACAGGTTCTTTTTGTTTATTATGAAACATGATGGCCATTATATCATAATTTTGCAGGAAAAAACTAGCAGAGGACACTTCGGATAAGAGTTTTGAAGTTTGGAATTGCTCATTAAATTGATGAGAGTTATGTTATTTTAAATTTCCCCTTAATAATGTATAGTCGGCGCTGAGTTAGCTAGAGCTTTGTATTATTGAGATTTATCGACAATTAGATTAGTTTGAAAAGTTACTATGTAAATACTTTGTTTAAGGTACTACTTTATTTTTAGTTTAAATTATATGAATTACATTGACTCAAATGATTTATTGTTTCTCTTGCTATTTTAATAATGCAGGCATGCAGCCAATGGGTATAATTTTATGTGATGTAATCATGTAACATTTATTTTTGTTTTAAAATTTATTGAGGCAAGGTGGATTTATTGCGTCTAAAATTTTTAACAAAAATATAAAGACATCTAATTAGCATTAGTAGCAACCGGCAATATATGAGTATATGACATTGCCTCTAATGATATTTTGAATTACTAAAAATATGGTTGTCTCTAAATACATTTTGTGGCCATATTTGTATGTTGCCTCCAATGAGGTTTTGAGGCTAGATGATATGGTTGTCTAATTGTATATGGAGTAACTTTTAGCATCACAAGTTTGGTTGCCTTTGAAATTAAAGTGGTTTTAGAGGCAATCACCATTGATGATTGATCACATATATTGCATTAAAAAAATTATTAGAGACTAATTTGTTATCTCTAGAGGCAAATATGTGTTGCATCTATAAGTTCATTTTTTGTAGTGTATAAATTAGTTTATTTTCCAAAGTTTTTTGCTAATTTTTATATATTCAATGATAGGGTACATACATTTAACATTTATCACCATTTTCTTTATCCCGTGCAACGCACGGGTAAAAGACTAGTTAGACCAGATCAGATTAAATCAATACTCCCTCCGTTTCTGAAACAAGGTCCACCTTTCCTTTTCGATAAGATTTAAAATTAAGTACAGTTCCACTTTCAAACATTTCTTTATTTGGCAAATTATCTACATCAAAACAGTGTCAAACAATGTTCAAACAGTGCCAAACAGTGTTCAAACAGTGCCAAACAGTGCACTCCACAGTAAAGTCAAATTTATTTTCTTAATATGTGTGAAGTCAAATGTGGAACTTGTTTCGGAAACGGAGGGAGTATATGGTAAAGTATACATAAAATAGATCTTCTATCGAATCAAACCGGATCGTTTCCGAATATATCAAACTTAAGCAATCAAACACTCAAACTAAACCGAATCAGACAATATCAGATCAATCCAGAATTTTTTTTGTCAAATTAAAAACATCATTAATGTCCCTACCCTTGATTTGTCGGGTAAGATTATAGGAAGATGTTGCTAGACACAGTGGCGGAGCCATGAATGGCAGGTTACGGGGACCGAAACTTAAAGAATTTATTTAGGAAGAGCCATAACTTAAATTTTCACTATATTTTTTATTACTTATAAATATTTATACATATGTATATACATCACAAACTTCTTCTTGTATGGATAAGGCCGCACCAGCATGCCCCTGTCTCCACCCCTGGCGTCTAGATGTACTAGTAATTAAATTTAAATTCATTTGTATGGTGCTTTCATTTTACTCTCTCCATCCCTAATAACTTTGTCAAGTTTGACCAGCACGGGGAATATAAAGTAAAAATCGTGTGGTTAAGATTTGTGCAAAGAAGAGAGAATGGAACTGAAACCACAAATTTTTTACTTAAAAGAGAAAATGATAAAGTTAACGAGACATCGAAAGTAAAATTGACAAGTTATAAGGGATTGACAGGTATTCATGAATGGAGGAATATAAATAAATGAGATGAAGAATTGACCGACAAATAGTCATGAGTTAGTTAGGGACCGACCGCATGCAGTGAGGGACAGGAGTTCCATGCAAGGAGTGCGTGTCAAGTTTGCCTCGGAAATGATTTTACGTTACACTTCACTTCCCCACCTCCCTCACTTTCATGACCGATCATTCAATTAAATATTCATTTTATCCCTAAAACAGCAAATTATATAATACGAAGTAATACTCATAGCTATGACTTCACTTTTATTTATACTCCCAAAAACAAACAAATAAAAAAAAACATAAACAAATCGAGGCATTAATTAATTATGGCGTTAAATCTCTCCCTCCCACGTTTTGCGTTACATCTAATCATGTATACATGCATGAAACATGGACGTCCCCATCCCTCCATATGGGTATTCAAGCCTTCAAGGTACAAAATATTTAAATATTAATTATTAAATAATAAATACCACCACCATTTACGTATTCATTAACATACATTTATTAAGAAAAGTGAGTTTTTGTGGATGATAATGAATTGATAAAATAGAAAGATTTAGAAACACACAAAATATATCGAATTTGGTATGACACAATATTATTTGTGAGACAAATCGAAATGAAAGATGAGACAATTTTAGTGAAACGGAAGGAGTATAGAAGGTGCACATTTGTATCTCCAAAAGGGTAGGTCCGAGGAAAGGTCCAATAATCACTGCAGAGGCCGGACTATGTAGAAGCAAACTTTCTCTTATCATTGCAATTCCTTGCTTTGATTGAGATATACGACTATTATTACAATCGAAAATAGAAAATTGAAAAGATTTACTTTCAATTAAAATATCAAAACAATCTGATTGATGTAAAAAATTCAATCTGAATGTAGTCCTATTTAGAGAATTTTCTCGTTAAAAAAACATATGAACTAGGGTTGAGCATATGAATTGTGATTTGGGTGATATCGATTTGCAATTACGTTCAATTTGAAATGGATTGAAAGAATAGTTGCCAAACACAAATTATACTATATTTTGCTATTATTCGTTTCAATTTAGTTCAACTCGGTTCGGGTTGGATTTGTTTTTGTAATAATACATTAAGATTTGGCTGATTCTTTAGTTCCATTCAATTTTATTTATTTTTTCTCGATTTCGGTTTCGTTCGGTCAAAAAAAGTTTGGAAGAAGTGTACAAAATTCAAATCGAATTGTACATGATTTGGTTTCAATTTGATTTGGTGCCATTTATTCGGATAAACCGAATCGATATATCTTAACAAGAATAATAATTCAGAGTAATTAATACTACCTCCGTTCCTATTTTATCTTCCAACCCACTTTGGCACACAATTTAAGAAAAGTAAGTATTGTGTGGTGGAGAGTTGTGCAGAGGGGAGAGAAATGTGTAAAAAATGTTGTGAACCACAAATTCTTTACCAAAAACGAAGTGAAAGTTTAATTGGAACGGATGAAAAAGGAAAGTTGGAAGTTTATTTAGGAACGGAAGGAGTACTATCTACTTTTTGTGAAAATTATAAGGAGTAATTTTTATGCTTTCATGAGAGTATGTTTAAAAATTATATAGTTGATCGATGTCTAATATCATTGATCAAGGAAACTGAATATGGCAGTCTGTTTGTGGAACACAAGAAGGAACAATTAGGGATAATAGTAGCAATTCATTGGTGCATTATTGATGTCACTTTTATTTGCTCTAAATTAATTTTTATGAAACTGAGTAAATATTATAGTATTGAAATGTTTGCTCATTTCCCCTTTTTGGGATGTATTTCAGTTTTTGCTACATTTTCTCTATTTGCTAAATTTTCTTTTAAAAATATTCATATTCTAATTTGTTGTATTTTTTTATCTTCTTATTCATATTTTCCATCATTTCTCATATTCTTTACAATATTCATTACTCATATCTTTTATACTACATCCGTCCCTTAAAATTTTGCCAAGTTTGACCGGTACGAAGAATAATAAAGTAGAAACCGTGTGGTTGATGTTTGTACAGATGAGAGAAAAATAACAGGAATAACAAAATAATTGATTAAAAAGGAAAGTGACAAAATTTTTTGAGACGTTCCAAAAAATTTTAAGGGATGGACGGAGTAAATATTTTCTCAAATTGTATTGGAGCAAACATTTTAATATAGAGGAATGAGTACTAAATTACACCCTTGGAAAATTTAAAACAGTTCCTGTCTGGTAGTGGTATCCGGTGCTACTGTTTGATGTTATAGGTGATGATGATTGGTAGTACTATCCGGCATTGCCATTTCAACAGATACAATTCTACGAGCCCATTTGGTGAGCCTTTTTTCGGTTTTTCAGCCAGTTTTTTCATCAAATACGTAATTTTTGATTTCGTGCGCTGACGTTTGTAATAAGCAGAAAAAGTAAGGCTCGAGTTACTTTTTTGGCTGTATTGGTTGAAGTTATTGTAGATGATCATTTTAGCTATTTTTTCATATAATTTTTTATTTAATTTATTAATAACAAATATTTTAAATATAATTTTTTCATTAATCAGCAGAATCAGCCAATACAGCCACTTCAGCCAGAACTTCATAAATTTCAGCAGAATCAGCCAATTCAGCCGATTTTAGTGTTACCAAACGGGCTCTACAAGACTTAGGGTATGTTTGGCACAACTAGCTAAAAAGATATTTTTATATACTTTTTAGTAACAATTAGCTTTTAGTTACTGAAAAGATCTTAAAAGTAAAAGGTGGTAGTTGTTTGGTAAAAAGCTGACTGTTTGATTTAGTTCTGTTTGGTATACAAGTTGTTAGGACTTATTAATGCTAAAAGTCACAAACTTTTCTCAGATGCTACTCGCTGTAGCATCTCAAAACAGATCTTTTATTTTTTGAAAAAGTCTTAAAAATTGTCATACCAAACATACAACTACAAGCTTTTAGAGACTTTTTAAATAGTGCAAAAGCTAGAAGGCAATGACTTATGTCTGCCAAACATAACCTTATCAACCGTCTCAAATTAATTACTTGAGCTATTTTGAAAAAATAGGATGACACCCCATTCGTGACGACCCCCAACACCAACCGAACAGTTAGATGGGAAAATGTAAATTGGATTTTAATCATAAGCTGAAAGATAGAGAGTGAGAATCTGAATCTGGTACTTGCAGAGGTTTCGTGCATTCTAGCATAGTAACCTCTTATCGCAGTTGCCGATATTCGAATACGAGATTTATCCGTTGTGACACCCCCTATCTACCAGTTGAGCTACGCCCATCGATAACTTGAGCTATTTGAGAATCACAATCGTAGTGTGGTTCAAATAAAAGAGTACTTAATTTTCACGTTAAAGTGTGAAAATTTCACACTTTATTGAATTGTGATATTCCTTTAAGAATAACACTTTTTCAGGGTGATAAAAAATCCATTTATTTATGAAGATGTCAATATGTCACCACTTTTTTTTCAATTTACCGCAATGTCAACGCTTTTAAAGCTATTAGATCTTACATTTG